TAGTTTTAAATTAGTTTTACTTTTTCTTGACGCCCCTAGTGTAAAAAATACCCCTAAAAAAATCATGGCCACGCCAATAGCATAGTTAAGAGCTGAAGATTCTTACCTATAATCAGGGCTGGTTTAAGATCACATTCGACCTATAAGCAACTTAAGTTCTGCGAGACCCCTTTCACCATAAGCTCTCGTTCTTATGTTATTTTTTGTTACATTGAAATTTTACCCATCAAAACAACTTTTATCATATATATTGAGTTTAAAATACTGCAGTTTTCAATTTAAAAACTTGTATAAGAAAACAATTATATAAGAAAAATAAAGAATAACCACTACAGGCAGCCCCCCCTCCCAGTGGCACAGCGGTATGTCTGCGGATTTACAACGCTAGAATCCGGGTTTCGATACCCGCGGTGGGCAGAGCACAGATAGGTTATTGTGTAGCTTTGTGCTTAATTACAAACAAACACTACAGGCAACCAAGTGAACCTTTTGGTTAATTCGGCCGTGTCTATGCTAAACAAAGTTTGCCAGTTGTATTTAAGTTAGAACGATGTATTAACTTAACAACACCGTGGCTGTAGATTTCGTGGTTAAGGAGCCACTAAGCGCTAAGAATGTTGAATGTGTGGCTGAGACTCTTCGTTGGATTATGCATGTTGATATAAATTTCGAGGGTGTACTTGTAAAATATTTTAAACTTAGAAGCCAAAAATGATCGAAATCTTAGGGCGGGAATTACATATGGAAAACAGGTTGAAAAGCAGAACAACATTCGCATCTAGGCTCGCTGTATTTATACTGTTAACCGTTGGCAATACAGAGAAATCTATGGGTTTGGTATCAAGTTGAGGACTCTGTAACTGTAGTGCGCATTTTATACAGTAAGTAAAAAAACATACCAATGATACCATGGTCGCGCTCTTGTCATTTCATTCCTTTTCACTCACTAATGTAGCTAGAACACGACAGTGTAACGATTGACTTGAAGAACACAAGTATAGATTTTAATCATTTTTATTCTGGTAATAAATTACAAGTATGTGTTTGCATAATAAGATCTAAATGTATTGCACATTTTGAAAACAAAGTAACTATTCCACTGTCGATTGATAATGTAGACATTTTGCGAGGACTTGGTGGTCACAAAAAAAAATAGTTTGGGTGTGGTCTAGTCGTTAGCGTGTCAAGATGTTATCGATAAGTCTATACGGTTTGGTCCTCGATAGGTCTATAAGGTTCGATCCTCGATAAGTCTCTAATGTTTGATCCTCGAGCAGTTTATAAGGTTTGATCCCCGATAAGTCTATAAGGTTTGATCCCCGAAAATCAATAAGGTTTGATCCCCGATAAGTCTATAAGGTTTGGTCCCCGATAAGTGTATAAGGTTTGATCCTCGATAAGTCTATAAGGTTCGATCCCCGATAAGTCTATAAGGTTTGATTCTCGAGAAGTTTATGAGGTTTGATTCTCGATAAGTCTAGAAGGTTTGGTCCTTGATAAATCTATAAGGTTTGATCCTCGATAAGTCTATAAGGTTTGATCCTCGATATGCCACTGAACACACTCTGTCAGCTACAGGGGCGTTATGAGAGCGAGCGCAGTCAGTATTACTATACTGTTAAGGATAACCGCGCAGGCGGCGGGTGATACCTACTAACGAGCTCCCCTAAGGTAAACAGTTCAAACGTAGGACCGACTATGCCCACATCTTCATTTCTTTGGCCAGGCCGTTTAGCCTAGGTATTGTTTTTGGTATTGTTCTAGTTGACAATATTAAATACCAGAAAGAACGTATACAATAGAGTTCAAAAGACTCAGAAACTCGAGCCTTTTCGAATAGTTGACTGCATTTTTTTCTTCATGAGTAAAATATATTTCATCCAAAGAAAGATAAATTTCCAACAGGCCACAGGTTACGGTATCAGAAATAGTATAACGTCTGCTTGGCTTTAAACAAGGTTACATATTCTAATACTGTAATCCGATATTTCTTTCTTTATAAGTGAAAATTACGTTTATGTGTTCATTTGAATTTACAGAAGAGGAAACACAGAACGAAGTTTAGAATTGTGACAATGATATTGTTCAGTAGTAACTGATTTGAACAAAGACATAATTAAAGGACCAAAATCGTTGATTTTATAGTCACGATAATTGTTGACCAGAAGCTTTGTATATGTTTTTATTTCATCGTGAACGAATGTGATATTTGATCCTTATATTTGACCCTCGCTATAACAGACACTGGACAATTTACTCATGTTTTTCCTTTAGCCATTCTAGTCTTTAAATTGCAATTTGGTTAGATTTGAACCTAGTTAAATTTAACATTTAACTAACATTACGATCAAATAATGATAATGTAACATTATCTGGTTCGATACTATTAACGTCGACAACACGAAATTGCTCCTAAAATATTCATAGCTTTCAGTAAAAACTAAATGAATATATTTAAAACAAATAAGAATAGTTAAACTATAGCTCTGCGGTGGCTCGTCAGTAAGTCTGAGGGCTTATAATGCTGAAAATTGGATTTCGATACCTGCGGGGGTAAATCATAGATAGCCCATGATGTAGCTTTGTGCTTGAAACAACCAGACTTAGAATACAAAGATAATGCCTAAGTTAAAAACGTTCATTTGCTGTTTTATTAATTATTATAATTTGTTTTATTTGTCATTCTTGCTACTGAACTAACAGGAAAAAACAGCGAATGTAACTTTTGTAACTTGACGAATTAATGCTATAATTTTTTTATGTGTAAAAATGAATGTCTCTAAACGTTTACTAGGAACAGTCAGACCAAGATTACTTTCAGGCGTATATTTTACAGCCTCTTGTAACTACTAAAATGCTCCACGATGGCTCAGCGGTAAATCTGAGGGTTTATAATGCTAAAAATTGGGTTTCGATACCCATGGCTGGCGGAGCACAGATAACTCATTATGTATCTTTGCGCTTAGCAACAAACAAACATGCTACTGACACAATTACAACACAAACTTTTTCCCGATGTTTGGAACAGAAGGATAACAACGAAGGTTTCCAAATACTATGAAACTGTCTATTAAGCCTAAATTGTAAGTTTACGATTTTGTTGACAGTAATTCGTTTAATTAACGACAAAATGGCGATTTATCTACAATATTGCTCTTTTATATTCCTTAATTATATTTCGATTTTGGATTTGTTTGAAGTTAAGCACAAAGCTACACAATGGGCTATTTGTGCTCTGCCCACCACGGGTATCGAAAACCGGTTTCTAGCGTTGTAAGTCCGCAGACGTACCGCTGTGCCACTGGTGGTGGGCTTCGATTTTGAAACAGTTTCCTTAATTAGTAAAAGTATTTAAACTGCAATTACTTTACCTAATAACATGCTTTATTGATCACATTGGTTATAATAACATATTGTTTTTCAGACATTTCAACTTCTCTATTCTTCATGTACAAATCTTAGACAATTCAGCCCAATTTCTGGTCAAAGCAAGTTGAGTAGGTAGATCGGAAATAAAGAAGTATATAACTGGTAATCCGCATAGCTAATCGAATATATTTTTCAAACTGTGCTACTAATTATAGTTATAAGAATGCATTGTTTCATCAGTTGGTACTCTTGCTGTAAAGGACATTTTAGGCCGTAAACCCAATAATAACTCACGAGGTTCATGCCTACTCAGGAATCTGAGGTTATTTTCAATCGATACTAAGCTACATTATATTAAAATAATAAATATAAAGTTGAATTAGAAGTAATATAAAATATAAATAGATATATTAAATATTCCAACCACTCCTGTGTGTCCACACTGTGGAAAAAGTTTCACTTCTTTAGAGCAATGTCCAAGAGTGTCCAATGGTAAAAGTAATAATTGTAATGACCACCTTAGTAGATTTAGGTTCATCCCGTTAAAACAAATGGGACTCGAGAAAATAAATGTGTAGCTAATGTGAATAATGGAGGTGGTCTTCATACAGTAATCCAATTGGGGCCGCTGACAGTCAGATGAGTTAACGTCTTTACTGTACTAGCACTAATTTCAAAATTTAAGAAAATATTAAGTAGTCTAAACGTTGTATTAGTTTAAATTTTTGAATGTCTTCTATCGAGTAGCAAAGAATAGGCCTAGAATAACAAGATTAAAACGATCCAATTTCTAAAGAATATTGTTTTAAGGAAGTAATAATAGCAGCTGTTTATAAAAATTAGATGTATGTTAATCATAACAATATTTACTAAATTGAGCCTTAAAATTTCATAAAGAAAAATAAATGTACTATCAGCGAAATATCTCATCAGTTGCTTGCAAGGTCTAAGTAATGGATCTAAAGCTGAAAATTTTACGTTATGGTCTAAAAAGGGGGGGGGGTGTATATTTTGTTTGTTTCGGATTTCAGCACAAAATGACACAAAGGTTACCTATGCAAGCCGTCCCTAATTTTGTAATGATTGGCTATAATGAAGGCAGCCAGTCAGCAGCATCATTAGGCTGTTCTAATTGAATAGTGGAATTTGATCATCACTCTTATAACACACCCACGGCTCCAATCTACGGATTGCATTTTTTTGTTTGTACATGAATTTTTGATTTGTTTGTTTGAAGATAAGCACAAAGCTATACAGTGAGTTATCTGTGCTCTGCCCACCACAGGTATCGAAACCCGGTTTGTAGCGTTGTAACTCCGCAGACATAGAACGTGAAACCTGGACCCTTGGATCCACAGTTTGGTATACTAATCATTAGGCCTCACCAGCCCAGACTCAGGAACACCTGCTGAGCAAAACTATATTAAATCGAGCTTACAATATTTGAACGAATCAATCTTTTATCATGGATAAATCCGTTTTCAAGCCATTACCCTTGATCAGGGTTATCAGATAAAAAACATTATTATTGTATATGAAAAAAAAAACAATCCAAAAACCTTATAAAGTAGGATTAAAAAATCATAGTGTCTCCACAAGATTCATAATATGAATTATTTTTTGTCCTATAGTTCAGAGTGGACATCAGCGCCACCAGGTAGCGCTGAAGATGAACCAGCAAGACTTCGACAACAGAAAATTGAGCATCAAGTAAGTAAACAGTTGCTCTCTGATAATATAGTGTTTCGTTGAACGACACCGATTTTTCCATTTCCGTTCTAGCAGTCCTTCTTTACCGAGCACAATTACATAGGTTTCAACTTGCTAACAAATATCAGAACTTGGTTGATCGCCTCAGAACATGCACATACAAAAATGGCGAATGTTTAAGGCAAAATGCTAACTAATTTTAGAGTTTAATAAAACCATATTTTAACGGAGAAAAAAAAAACTTTTTACAAAATATACAGCCATGATCAATGCTGAAAGTTGCATGATACAGATTCTAATTCCAATGACGCACAGTAGTGAAAGAAAAGCAAAATCTTGCTACGCCGTGTGCGTGAGTTCTCCAGACAAATCCTTTCATGATACATGGTGTTTGTTCGCTTAAAGAAATACCTAAGCTATTAATTAGGATTGGTAATTACAATATTCTTAATTATGTGTTTGTTTTTTTTGTAAAATTATAAAATCCAGTTTCAATAGTTAAAAAATCAAGGTTATATTTTATTTCTCAAGATTTGTTTTGGGGGGCAATGATTTCCACACATCCGGTTTTGTATTTATATTTTTAATTTATGGCAAAGATATTAAGGTTATCAGTCGTCGTCCCTAATTTTGAATTACTGGCCAGAGGGAAGACAGCCAGCCAGCAGTAATCCAGCAATAGGGATTGTTCTCCCTATTATAACACCACGACAACTTAAATTGAGGAGGATTATTACAGTATCGCCCTGATTTGAACCCGTTCTCAAGATTTGATATCCACAACTTTCCTACAATGTTTTTCTATAATGCTCAAACATATCGTATTTTGAATATGACGATTTTCAAGACGGTGTAAAGATTTAAACGTTGTTATTATGATCACATACACATGTATATCCTGAATATAATTTATAAGGTTATATAACTTATTTTTAATTTTAAAACATAGTTCGTTGGGTTTTGGTTGAATTTCTCGCCAAGCGACACAAGGGCTATCTGCGTTAGCTGTCCCTAATTTGGCAGTGATGGACTAGAGGGAAGGCACCCACCGCCAACTCTTGGGCTACTCTTTTACCAACGAATAGTGGGATTGACGGTACCATTATAACGCCCCAGGGGCTGAAAGAGTGAGCACGTTTGGTGACGGGGATTAGAACTTGCAATCCACACATTGCGAGTCGAGCACCCTAGCCACTAAGCCGTGTCAGGCCTTTAGAATGTAGTAAAATAATTTGTTATCGTGAGAACAAACTAATTGCATTCAAACACGACTTGGAATATGATTAAATTATAGACTGAGTGTATTCATTATGAGAAGAAATACTTATTTATAATAACTTCTTAATAATAAAAGTATACGTTAGGCTTTGTTTTAGTAAAAAAAGATTAAACACAAAAATATACATGCTACTATATCATCGAAAATACGAAACGGAAAATGATAAATAAAAAAGGGTTATACGTTAATAAAAACAAAATTTCATGAGTATATTCTTTATTTACTGAGTTATCTCATAACAACTTTAAAAGATAAGTTTCTTAACATTAAGCTATGAAGCGGAAGTATGTTTGTTTCCTAACCTCGCTACAGTGTTCTATAGAGATATACTAACAAAACTGTTTCGCGGTTATTTACAGAACTAGTCCAACTTTGAGTAATGACGACTTTTTCTGCCGATAAATGTCAGTGTTTTTATTTTTCTGCTCACTTGTCAAGAGAGCATCCTGTCGAAATTTTTGTTGATTTGTTTCTACTTCTTATTGAACGGGATGACTGATTACTAGTCGCCAGCTGAAATTGTTTCTTAGTAATCTATCAAATCGAGTCTCCAACAAGAAGAAAAACACGACAAACTTGTTCACCATTTTCTTGAAATGTGGAATGTATCTACTAGGTTCTTAATATCGCAAGGCATGCTGGTTGTTTTCTGCATGATTCAGATTTCTGGCATTTTCTCTCAACAAAGTCGGGAGAGCAACCAATGATTTAATATTCTTCATTTAGTTTAGTTTTTCCATCTGATACTAACCCTAGCTTAGTTCATTACTAGTAAGGCTCTAACACCGAATCATATTGCGGAAGTAATTTTATGACTTTTCCCATCACAACACTAAGTGTAAAGAACTGATTAAAAAAATGGGAAAAATGACTTCTATTTTCAAAATAAAAAAACACAGAGGAAGGACTTCAGCAGCGGGATTAATTGCAATATTGGTTGTATTTTTTATTTAAATTTTCTCGTGTTTTTACACAAATCCAGAAATTAACTGTCATTAACTCAAAGGCAAAACGCCCGGCATGGCCAGGTGGTTAGGGCACTCGACTCGCAATCTGAGGGTCGCGGGTTCGAATCCCCGTCACACCAAACCATGCTCGCCCTTTCAGCTGTGGGGGCGTTATAATGTGACGGTCAATCCCACTATTCGTTGGTAAAAGAGTAGCCCAAGAGTTGGCGGTGGGTGGTGATGACTAGCTGCCTTCCCTCTAGTTTTACACTGCTAAATTAGGGACGGCTAGCGCAGATAGCCCTCGTGTAGCTTTGCGTGAAACTCAAAAACAAACAAACAAACTAAGGCAAAACATTTAGAAAAAATGTGTTAAAAAAGCTAAAGGGATTTATATAAACTATAGGGTTAGAAAGTTTATTACTAACCAGGCTTTGAATGGTTACCGAATTCTCTCAGATATTACGTTTCTAGATTTAGCGCTGTATTTTCACCAAAGCATCGTATGATCTTAATTAATAGACTGGAGTATTTCACATTCCTCATTTTTTGACTATCAACAACTAATCAGCTGTTCTGATGCTATTCGCTAGTCATCTCCTGCGGCCCCCGCTTGCTCAACTATACGTCCGAGAAAATATAACGCTAATAATTGGGTTTCGATACCCACGGTGGGCAGACCACAGATAGTCCATTACTGGCTTCCCCACTTTCTTTATCGAATGTTTGGTGTTTGAATAGAATTTCAGCTTCCATCATTATACCTTTCCTTTAGTTAATTTTAGAATACTATTTTTATGATTATTTAGAGTAACAATAGAGTAACATTTTACGATAAGAAATTATGATTATATTTGTATTGCCAGTGAGGAATCCAGTAATGTAGGGATTTTATTCTCCGTGTAAAGTCAAAACGGTTTATTCTGCTATGTGATCATTAGCCGGATCAAGTGATATGTCTACTTTCATCCCTTTCTTATTTGGTTCCTTTTTTTTCAAATTCGGTAGCCAGCCCTACGTAGCTTTTTATTTAGCGATAATTTTTTTCTTAATACTTGTTTGTTTACTTTTTTATAAGATGGCGTACGTGGGTTACTAGGTTATAGAGTGTATTCTAAAGCTTTATCAATTTTACATGGAATAATAATAAAATAGGTAGTCAAAGATCATGAAGACTGTTTTGGTCTATCAAATGATGATAAAATTATAGTTACTTCTAGAAATAGGTAGTCGCTAGGCCTGTTGAAGAAAGATGATGATGAACGAATATAAGAAATCTCGGTTTTGGCTATTCGCAGAGTTTTCGACTTTGGGCCGCTCTGGATATCTGAAAAGCGGCATACACACCAAAGATAGAGCGACTATACCAGGTAGCTCTTCATACCTAGCTTCTGATGACCTGTAGCGAAAAAATCCAGATGACTTTAATAGTGCTTTAATACGGGCGCCCGTGCCATCCCTACACAGAGAATGAGAGCTAGCGCACTCCCCGATAATTGGTCTGGGCTTTTCTTCTCATTTTTTAGCGTATTTATCCTCTGTTAATGCGTAAGTTAATATTGACTTCTGTTTTCTTAAAGGCGATTGATTTACTTTTCTTAAATACCTTAAAATATTTTTGTACCTGTTGTGACTGTTTATCTCAGGTCCCCTTTTTATATCAAAGCTCAGTTATCTCTTTGATCTTCAATTGTTTATCTCCTGCAGGGTCTGGAAACCTTCTAATTTTAATATATTATTCAAGTTTTCCCACTACTTGAGTTGGGACACACCCTATTATCTCCTGAAATTAATTTTCTATTTTTGAATATTATCCATTTTACTATTGTCCATTCAGGTAATAACTCTAATTTAAACTAAGTCTGGCTCTGTTACCAACTATTTATTTTTAAGAGTTATTTTTACTAGAGGCCACTCTAGCTTGTAGGCATGTAACTTTACAATTCTAGTTTAGAACCCTGTGATAAATTCAAGACAGATAGCCCATTATCCAGCTTTGCCCTTAATAAGCACATCTCACTATCGGCCGTTTTATAGTATCCGTGAACAACTTTCAACTGAATGGACAACTACAGAAAACTTGAACTTTTCTTGTCCACCATCTAACCTTTACTTGTATTAAGGAAGTTTCCAGCGTCACTTTGTAAGTGGTTCATTGCTCCCCCCTTTTTGACGTCACTAGTTTCGAGTGCTCATGAGTTTATTTAAAATATTTCCTATCTGTCATTCTGGTAGTTTTAGATTAGACAGGAAAAGAAAGTTATCGCTTCGTGCTAATTAGCTTCCCTATTCAAATACTACTTTAAAGATATGCTAAATAATAGTATACTCATTTAGAGGGGATTAGGGAGCTGTGGACTCCAATATGAAGACTCATCTTATTTGTGTTAATGAATGACTTTCTAAGTTGGTTTGGATGTGAATAAAAGGTTGCTTATTGTGAGAGGGCAGTGGATTGCTTCTGAGAGAGTGACTAGTGCGGCTACAAAACGTTTTCGAATACTGGTGTGTGAAATATAACACAATTGATTGTTTTCTACATTTTTTGACAACACAGATGACGTGTGGTTTTAATTTTAAAATTGTGATATTTAAATGGTTTGTTGGGTTTTGAGGTTCCATTTTTTATTGCGTGTATATCGATTGTATGAATTTCCACACGAAGCTTGTGCGTCAACTGACACATTTGTGCCCTTATTTGTTAGTCCAGAATGATAGTGTTGTTTTTAAACACAAGAATTGTTTCACTGAACACAAGTTATGTTGTTTTTAGC